CTCTTTTTCTGTCCCTGGCTTATAAAATCCTGGCATGGCAGGTTCCTTGGAACCTGTTAGAGTTTTCTGGGTAGAAAAATTTCTCTCTAGAGTAAGGCCTAGGAGTGGGAATTGTGTGTCCCCCTTCCCTCTGACTCCCAGACCTGGTGGGCAGCCCCCCAATGTGTCAGTCCTGCCGAGGGCCTGTGTGGCTGCTGTCACAGCCGCAAGGGGGCCCTGGGGTGTCAGTGCTGGACTGCAGGGGGATTTTTGTTTCACGCGCACAGGGCTTCCAACGAGTTTGGAAGGCGATGTTGGTATCTTAAAGAGCAAGAGATTTCACGCAGGTGCCTGCTGTGTGTCTTCTCTACCACGCTGCTGTGTTCCAAGGGGCTGGCTGGCTGCATCTCTCCACAGACTCTTTCCTAGTGCTTCTGATGACGCACTGCCCCTCTCTCCCAGTGCTTCCCAGCCCCGGGGGCAACTGGGGCTTGCAAATCTTGCTAGCCCAAAGGCACCCTTCCTATGCCTTTCCTAGGTGCCAGGATCTGGGCTGGGTGCGGTCAGGACATCTTCTCCAGCAGTCAGGTCCTTGCCTCTGCCTCCCTTCTCTCCTGCCATCTGAGTGGAGGAAGGGGACATCATTTCATCAACAGCTCATCCGCTGGGGAGATCAGTTCTATGACTCCATCTTGCAGGTGAAAAAACTGAGGCTCAGACAGGTTTCCATTTGGCAGCTTGATTCTTAGAACCCCCCCGCTCCCCAGCTCACTAGAGGGGCTTTGCAAAGACCCTGCTTTCTGGACCTCTGTGACACCTACCAAGTGGAAGCCAATTCATGTGGGTCTTTCTTTTTCTTTCTTTCTTTCTTTCTTTCTTTCTTTCTTTCTTTCTTTCCTTCCTTCCTTCCTTCCTTCCTTCCTTCCTTCTTTCTTTCTTTCTTTCTTTCTTTCTTTCTTTCTCTTCCCCCCCCTCCCCAGATGAGGTTTCTCTGTGTAGCCCTGGCTGTCCTAGAATTCACTTTAGACCAGGCTGGCCTTGAACTCATGGAGATCCACCTGACTCTGCCTCTGCCTCCCTAGTGCTGGGATTCAATGCATGCACCACCACCATACGGGCTCATGGTGGGTCTTATCTTATAAAACTTCCCTGGAAATTTAGGGTGAGGCTTGGGCTGCTGGGACAGGCTGTGCGTCCCTGCTTCACAGGAGCCTGGATGATCTCATTCCTTCTCCAGTGCGGCTTTTGGCCCAGATTTCCTGCAGTTTAAAGCCAGCCTCTCCTGCCCAGACTGTGCACCTGAGCTCCCCCACATGCAGGAGAAAATAGCTCCCATCTCCTTCCAGCCTTCCAGGAATGGGCCCCTGGGAACAGGGCTGCAGGGAGGCAGAACCCCAGGGTGCTGGTGGCTGGATTCACTCTTAGGTACCGGTGCGACCCTTCTGTCGCAGCCCTGCTCACCTCTTGTGCCCATTTGTATTTACTTCTTATTCCCTGAGATCCTGCCAGGTGCCTCTGGTCCCGCCCTCTCGGCCATCTGGGCCCTCCTTGGAGTTGTAATTGCTGAGCACGGAGTCACAAAGAACTTGGGAGGGGAGGTTGGGACATTGCCTTGTGGTGCATACTCCTTCAGCATTTGAGGGATGTAGTCAGAGCTAGGACGAGAGCCCAGGAGTCTGTGAGGCCAGTGCCTCACCAGAGAAAGCTTTGTGAGGCCTGCTTGATGTTGAATGAGTCTGGACTGGGATCCTGGTTGCCTGACATTTAGTGCAGAGTGTTCCCTCCTCTGAAAGCAGAACTGACCCCACAGGGTGAGCTCCGTGGACCGGAATCAAGTCTAGCTGCTCAATGCTTCAGCCTGGGCTTGTGGGATCTCATACCCTCAATACCACCTTGGGGGTTATTTTGTCACAGGTCACAGAAGGAGGCAGGTGCCATGGAGTGAGGAAGCCCTAGAACCTGAGATCGCTTGGGAACTTCAGGGGCTTCCTCTTTTGGCTTCCACACTTGCCTCGTGCCATCTAACCAGACCTAATTAATCAATAACCAAGCTGTTGCTTTCCTGCCAACCAGCCACCTGAAGAGTACTTATTCTATCCGTGAATTGATTGCCACACTTTCGCCACCACGACAGAGAATCCCTGTGCCCACAAAGGCTGGATGATGCCAAAGGAATGCTGGGACTACCCTATCACCCTGCTGTGGAGACAGTGGTTCCCAGTGGCCCCAGTCTTGTCTCAGATGGAAAAGAGAAGGCTAGAGAGGGGTGTGGAGGGGTGGGGCTTGAACCTCAGGTTACCCAAGAGATAGCTGTTACCCTGCTGGGGCTTAAGGTCCATTCAGGTCCTGGCTACCGCGACCACAGGAGGGAGCCCGCAGCCCTCTAAGTCAGGGTCTTGGATATACTGAAGAGAGTCCCTTGTAGCAGTGGACACAGAAAACAGGCTAGGGTCCTGAGGGCCTGGGGACCTCAATGCTACCTTAAGGTGCTGAAATGTGTGGGCCCATGGTTCCTACGACAGTACCTTTGATGTGTTAGTTGACAGCTTGACAACAATCACCTGTGTCACAGGCCTCTGGGCATACCTATGTGAATTACCCTTTTGTTTTGTTTTTTAAGGCAAGGTCTCTCTATGTACCCTGTCTGTCCTGGAATCCACTATATGGACCAGGCTGGTCTCAAACTCACAGAGATCCCCCTGCCTCCACCTTCTGAGGGCTGGGATTAAAGGTGTGTGTCATCATGACCATCTGTGGGGATTATCTTGATCATGTCAATTGAACTGGGAAGATTCACGGACTACGAGTGACAACCATTCCTTGCCAGGGATCCTGAACTGTGTAAGTGGAGAAGGGAGCTATGAGTCAGCCTGCGTTCATCACTCTCTGCGTCCTGATCGGGGACATGATGCACAGCAGTGGTTCTCACCCTTTCACAGGGGTCGCCTAAGACCACCAGGAACCCAGGTATTTGCACTATGATTCATAATTAGCAAAATTTCAGTTATGAAATGGCAATGCAAATAATTTTACTGTTGCAGGTCACCACAGCACGAGGAGCTGTGTTAAAGGATTGCAGCATTAGGAAGGGTGAGAACCACTGCTCTACAGCCTTGACCTTCCCACCACGGTGGACTAGTCTTTGAACCAAAATAAACCATTTCTCCCTTAAGCTGCTTTTGTCAGAGTATTTAAAAAATTTTTTAGATTTATTTATTTTACGCGTATTTATTTATTTTATGCTTTGCCTGGATATATGTACGTGTTCATGTAGGTCAGAAGAGGGCATCAGATCCCCTGGAACTGGAGTTATCCATGGTTGTGAGTCACTGCGTGGATGCTGGGAACCAACCCTGGGTCCTCTGAAAGAGCAACAAGTGTTCTTAAGTGCAGAGACATCTCTCCTGTCCTTTTCCAGGGCATTTCATCACAGCAAGAGGAAAAGAAATGAAGATAGTGGCCATCTTTCAGTTTGATATGCCTGTCCCCAGTGGATAAGAACTAGAAATCACCGGAATCCACAGCACAGGCTGCAATGCACACCTGCTTCAGTCTCTGTCAGCTTCGAACCTGACTCTGCTTCCTGACTGGTCACCTCTGTCTCCATCCCACGGAATCCACACAGGGCATCAACATGAAGGAAATGTAGACACATGCTGCCCCACTGTGCCCCACCCCGCCCACCCACTCCAGCAAAGGAGGGAACTGGCTCCAGGCTTTCCCCACCCCATGCCTCCACACCCTTCTTCCCGATCCTGGTCAAATATGGAAATACACACAGGCATGCTGTGTATCTTATAAAAGCAGAACAAGGGGTGGGTAAGAGGGCTAGAGATGATGCAAGAGGCTAACACAGCCCTAGCGCCTAGTGTATAAACATTTCACATTCATATATATAAATATATGGGCAAAACAGCAGCAAAAGGAAACCACCAAAAGCAGGACAATGCTCGACACATGGGCAGCTAATGGCTTTTCCTCGTGTCAGGGGCTACGCTCTCGGCAGCACAGAGCCCACAATGGAGAGACATACAAGATGTGAGGCCCCTTTGCCCTTGTTATGCCTGCTCACCTTCAAGCCTCATAGCACCCTCTGTCAGCGGCTCCCACCCTTGGGTGCCATTCCTTGGGCCAGTATTCATTTGATTTAATACTTTTTTTTAAAAGCGTGTACTGCGGGGCTGGAGAGATGGCTCAGAGGTTAAGAGCACCGACTGCTCTTCCAGAGGTCCTGAGTTCAATTCCCAGCACCCACATGGTGGCTGACAACCATCTGTAATGAGATCTGGCGCCCTCTTCTGCATACATAATAAATAAATAAATCTTTAAAAAAAAAGTGTGTACTGCACACTGGGCACCACCTCTGTGAGCCCTTTGCCACATCTGACTCATCTAAGTACTCCAAGGTCCAGAGGGAAGCTTCCCATTCCACGGGTGCCTTGGGAATGAGGACTTCTCATAAAGTCAGCACAGGTATCCACCGAATGAGCAAACTTCCTGCACGGTGCAGAACCCCCTGCCCTCCCGGGCAGTCAACACCCACACGAAGCTCCCCTAATTACGGCAAAGCTTGGGTATCTTGACTGCACAGGCGGTCCTTTGTTGTAGCACCAGGTGACATCTGAGGCAGCTGACTTCCTGTCTTGAAACCAAGTGGCATCCTGAGAACAAGGTTGTATCTAGTACCAGGTTGGCATAAACATTCCAGGAATCAGGTGACAATCTAGGTGTCAGGACACATTCAGGTGCCAGCCAACATCCCAAGAAAGAGGTGATCTCTAGGTACCCAAGTGACATCCTAGGTACCAGGTGACATCACAGATATCAGATGACATCCCTGGGAACCAGGTAACATTCCTAGAATCAGGTGACATCTCTAGAGCCAGGTGACATTTCAAACATCATATAATATCCCTGAAAACCAGGTATCCCTAGAAACAGGTGACACCCAGGTGCCACGTGACGACATTTCAGGAAACAGCTGACATCCTGAGTGACAAACCAGTGGCCCTGGGCCTTACCTGCCGATGACTTCTATATTGGAGATGGCGTAGAAATACTTGTAGAGGTTCTCCCGCTGCACGTACGTGCCGCCCAGCGCAGGGCGAAGCAGCCGCATGCGCAGGTCGGTGAAGGTGAAGAACTCCTTGAGGCCCTTGGCGCTCTCCAGCCTCGTGTACAGGTTGTCCATGTTGCGCAGGTCAGGGCCGGCAAAGATGGCGAAGCGGTCCCTTACCTCGAAGCGCACATGCTTCTCCTTCTTGGACCCCGCCCAGCGTGAGTACTCCTCCGTGCAGAGCACCCGGTGGGCGCTAGACGGTGACATGTCTCGGGCCCGGCGGGCGGACATGCCGAAGGCCTCCATGCAGTCCTCCGCATAGAACTGATAGGGCTGCCAGGTGCGGCCATTGTCCAGGGACTTCTCCAGGACCATGACCGTGGGCCGGCCATACTCGAAAGTCATCACCACGTCATCCGTCAGCTCCACGCTCTTGTTCCATGAGAGGGTGATGTTGGCCTCCAGGGGACTGGGGTAGCGACTCCACGTGACGCTTTGCCAGTAGGTGGCCAGTCCCTCATCTTCCCTGTCAAACATAAGCCTGGGTGGGTGGGCCAGGTCGGGGTTGGAGGCATCACACTCGTTACTGCACAGGTAAGGGTTTTCCTGCAGAGGAAGAGATAGGAAGTAGGTGCTGGTCACTGGGAAGGGCCGTGCAGTGCTCGTCTGGTGCCTAGCGGTCTGCTAGCCATCACCAAGCCCCGATGCAGACAGTGGGAAGTGCCCGTCCCACACAGATAGCGGGTGCCTGATGATAAGATAACGGGGTGGGGGTGCACAGAGAGCTGGGCCTTTCAGACAGTAGATAGTCTGTACTTTCTACTCAGTGTTCTTTAAGTCCATAACTGCTCTGGATGGTAGACCTATTAATTAACAAACAACAAACCCCGCACTGACAGCCGCACAGTGCCCCAGTCCACACAGCCACTTTGATGAATATTTCAGGTGTCTGTGCAGAGACAAAGTAGCTTGGATCTGAGTTAAAAACCTCTTGCTCTCTAATGAGCCATGAGGCCCCTGAGGGGGGTGGACACATTGCCACCATCCCTGGCCACCCCAGCCAGCAACACTGCAGTCAGCCACTGGCCACGGGCTTTGATCCTCCACAGTACAGGGCTGGTGCCCGGCTGCCTAGAGCTGCTCGGTGGGCACAGCTAGCCCAGGGGGTTCACTAAGGCGGGACCCACAAAGCCCTGGCCGACCAAAATAGCTCCGTCCCTAGCACCCTGTGGTGCCAATGTCCATCCCACCTGCCTAGCCCTGCTGATGAGTGGGACCAGAAACCTTGGGGAACAGGGAATTTGCCACCAGCCTAGCACCTTACTGAGTAGAGTGGGAAACTGAGGCCCAGGGAAGGCAAGATAAACCCAGGCCTTCTCAGAGGGACTGGAAGTACTTCTGAGGAGAAACCAAGCCCTACCAATCCTCCCTCCCCCTCCCCTCTCCTTTCCATTTTCCTCCTGGTCCACCCCCCTTCTTTCCTCCTCCTGCCCTACACTGCCTCAGTGGTACCCCCTTTCAAGTCTGGCAATCTTACCAGCATGATGACAAAGGAGGAGCTTTGTGTTTCTTTCACTGGGTCTCACGCTGTTGGCCCAAATGGGAAGGGGCTGAATGACCTCCCTAGGCTCGATGACAAGCAGAGGCCAAGCCCAGTGACCAGGAGGAAGTAGAGGCTGCTGGGCTGGAGGAGGCTGGCTGACCATGAGGTCACCCCTACATCCCCTGCCACCGGTAACATGAAGGAGCACACCCTGAGCCCAGGGCAGAGTGCGCCTGCTTGTGTGCTGGGAAGTGGAATGGTGGACACACACACACACACACACACACACACACACACACACACACACACGAGTTTGCACGTTTATGAGGGGCTGAAGGACAGCTTGATGCAGGCTGGATGCTCTCCCACTCCCTTTTTCCTACCTCCCTGTGCCTCACCTGGGGCTGGTCTGTGTCCCCTCAAATTTGTATGTTAATGCCTAACCCTCAGCAACCCCAAAAGGTAGCTAGCTGTATTTTGAGACAGTCTTTAAGAGGAAAGTTGGCTAGCTTTAATCCCAGCACTCAGGAGACAGAGGCAGGCAGAACTCTGTGAGTTCAAGGCCAGCCTGGACTACAGAGCGAATTCCAGAGAAACCCTGTGTTGGAAAAAAAAAAAAAAAAGACGAAAGAGTGAGTTGAAGGAGCCCCTCCGGTGGTCTTTCTCCTTCTGAGAAGGTCCCTTATGAGGAGAGAGGAGGGGCTCACACAGAAGCACCAGAGGCTTCTGCACACACACCTGGAGGAAAGACGGGAGACACCGACGAGGTGGTCACATGTGCCCTAAGGAGTGAGGCCGCAGGAGCAGCACCCCCAGCACCTTGATCCTGAAACTGTGAGGCAGTAAATGTCTTTGTGAAGGTGTCAGCTCCCAGCAAGCTCATCCTAGGGAAGCAAGTGGGAAGGGCGGCAGTTCAGTGAGGGGTTGCTGACCCCGGGTTTTCCAGGGTGTTCTTGGGGACTCTTCTATAGCCTTTCCCCCGCTTCTCCAAAGGCCATGTCCTTTCCCAGGCCACCTGGTCCCTGGGTAATTTTATTAATGTCTGCCAATCTCATATTGACTATCAATATTCCTGTCACACACACAGACACACACACACACACTCCCCAGATGCTGTGAATCTCGTACCTTACCTTTTCCCTGGGTCATTTCCCAGCCTCCTGCCTTGCCTACCCCTAGCCTGCTACTAGTCCTTGGGCTAGGGGGTGGGGGACACAGTGTTCCTCAAAGCCATCAGCTGTTCCTGGCCTCCGATCATAGAGAAGATGGATGCAGGGGCTTTGCGAGGGTCTGGGGACGCCAGCCTGATTAAGAATACATGCTGCCCAACCTGCCGGGCCTGCCAGCCCCCTCCCCAACCCCTGGGAAGCAGATGGTGAGACACTAATGAGTCAGCCTGTGTATTTACCAGGCTCATGCCGGCTGCAGAGAGGACCTTGCCAGCCACGGGCACAGCAAATCATCCCAAGCCATGGCCGGCACAGTCCTCTCAATTTCTCCCCTCTCCCTCCCACCTCACAGCCACCACAAGATCTCAGCATCCTGCATCACCAAGGAGGCACAGGCTGTGGCCTCACGGAGCCAACCCCTTTCTGAAAGCGCACTGGCTCGGCCCTGGCTGGCTTTCCATGCCACACTAGGGAGAACTCCAGGGGAGTTCCAGCCGGCCCCGCCCCCACCCGAGCGAGCGAGCGGGACAGCTGAGGACAGCGGGAGGCAGCAGCGACTTTGCCAGCCTTCTGGGTCTCCAGCTTCCATGACTACAGAACAGATTAAGTGTTGGTGAAAACAGCCAAATGAAGTGGCCTGACAAGGACGGCCAACGTTAGGCGAGTTTCGGGCACCCTTGACCTTGCGGAACTGAACCCAAGCTGTGGAAACCGGTACTTGCTTCTCTGCCCACTTACTGATTAGCACCCCAAAACAAAACAAGTCACACACTCCTGATTTTAAAAGCCCCCCGGGGGCGGCTCAGTAAAGCGCTTCCTGAAGGGACTTAAGTTTGAGCCTCAAAAGCCATGAAAGAGCTAGGCGAGGTGGTGTGGTTATAGCTCTGACAGTGGAGGAGAGGCAGAAATATCCACAGGCACATTGGCCGGCCAGCCTAGATTAAATGGGCAAGTTCCAGGCCAATGAGTCACCTTGTCTCAGAACCAAGGTGTATAGTTCCTAATGAGTGACACCTAAGGCTGACCACTGGCCTCCACTCATATGTGCACAAAAAATGCACACTACACAAAAAGCCTTAGAGTCGTGTCCCCCACCACCACCGCGCGCCCCAACGCAGTCACTCACCACGTACATTTCCCATACAGTTTCTAGGAGCCCCCTGGAGAACTAAGTCTGTGTTAGAACCCATTGTTTAAATGTATGGGGCCCTTGAGGAAACTGGCCCTAAGCTCAACTCAGCTCCACCCTCTGGAGGCTTTGTGACCTTGAGAAAATCATTTGACTTTTCTGAGTCTCTGTTTCCTTATCCTGTGTTCTGTGAGATAGAGTGTATGAGAAACCCAGGTGATGTCACCACACGGTAGTGACAGTTTCACACAGTCCATTCCTACATGTCCGCTGGAGAGGGGGGTATCCCAGCCACCTTCCGAGGGAAGGAGATGGAGGTGGAGCTGGGAGACGCTGGAAACGTGCGCACTCCATGACACAGACCACCTTGAACATAGATGGCTTTAGTGACAGCTAGTCCAGAGGAGCACAGTGACAGTGGGGCAGGGGCAGGTGTTATGGTCACGAAGTACACACCAGCTCGATGTCACTTCCCCCGGATACAATGGCACTGACCTTGGAGAATGCTGGGGAATCAGAGCTCAGCATCTCTGCAGCTGTTCTGTCTCCACACACCCCAAGCGAGTCACCTGGAAGGTAGGCAGTGTAGCTACCCTGGCCCAGCAGCACAGGGCACCAGGGTGGGGCAGGGTGGCACAACAGGTCTCTTGCAAAGTCTCTAAGCATGAGACAGGCTGGTAAAGCCGTTTTGCACCAGGCTTGAGCACTTTCGTCTCTTTAAGGATTTTGCTTTTCGGTTATTTTTAGGGCAAGAGTCAAGAGTCCGGGGGCAAACACACTGGACAAGCTCCGGGTGAAAAGCATCCTGGGACAGGAAGTGAACTGCTGTCAACAGAGTAACCCTCGTCTGGGAAAGTTCAGCCATGTAAGTCTCCAAACCCCTAGCCCAGAAGTCCTCACAGGCCTCTTGGGTCTAAGCAGCCTGTGTTCAGGTGGTCTATGTCACGGAATTCCCGGGTTCTCGGCATCTCCCAGCATCCAGCTGACATGCAGGAATGGGCTGAGTAAAACTGTCACTACCGTGTGGTGACATCACCTGGGTTTCACACAGAACACAGGAGGAGGAAACAGAGGCTCAGAAAAGTCAAGTGACTTTCTCAAAGGTCATCAGACTTGGAATGGTCTCGGCTAGAGAAATGGATGGCTTCATCCCAACTGGGCTTGAAATCCAAATCTGTGTTGGGACAAACTCTCAACTACTGCCCATGATATGGGCCAACTTGGTGCTTTGCAAGGGGGCTTGAAGGGTAAGTCTGTGGTGGACTGAAGAGGAGCAGACAATCTTTTCAGCCACATGCAAGCTCCCTGAGTCTGGGTGAGCGTTCAGCTTCTTCAGACCTGCTGGCGTTCAACACACGCTACCACAAAACTATGTATTTTTAAAGATTTTTATTTTTATTTATGTTATGTGTGTCGTTTTGTGTGTGTCTATGCATGCCTGTACGCTCACATATGTGTTCAAGTGCCCATGGAGGCCAGAAGAGGATATCAGATGTCCTGTAGCTGGAGTTACAGGAGGTTGTGAATTGCCACTGTGGGTGCCAGGAACTGAACCTGGGTCCTCTGTAAGAACCGCAAATGAATGCTCTTCACCACTAAGCCATCTCTCCAGCCCCCTCGAACTATTTCAAGTGGAAAGAATTTGAGAACCTTCTATGTAGTAAGGTCACTCCTGGCCCTTCTCTTCAGCAGGTTGTGAGGCCCTCACTGAGGAGGGGCCTGCGTTAGGAGAAGGAAAGGGATCCCTTAATTCTAAGGACACGGG